AAATGGCATTCTGCTCTTTTCTGTGACTGGCGTGGTAAAAGTATTTTGATGTTGGCAGTACTTGCGCAACTTTTTTTTTTTTTTTTTTTTTTTAAATGAGCAACTAAACAGTGGCAAAAATCAAGCTTTTCTAGAGTGAGACTACTAGAATTGTTATCTGTCAGGGGAAGAGAGAACAAAAATGAGATGGCAACAGTTCCCTCCTGTCCACCCCACTGATAAAGAAGCACTTGTGTTTATTTGCAGAACACTTATGCAGGTAGCGTTTCTTAATGGTGGTAAGGAAAAGTCATTATTCTGCTTTAATGCATGAGTTTGACATAGTTCTGTAGTGAAGAGAGAAGTTAATATGCTGTCATTACTGAGAAGTTGAGTCAGTGTAAAGGCACTCATGGTGGCAGCTAGATTAATGATAAAACAATCATGACAGTTTCAGGAACAGCCTGCTAGTATATATAAAAGTTTATGATCTGATCCCACCAAATAGCTCATGTCCAGGGTTGAACAAACCTGTGGGCATCATGTTTCAGCTCTGCCTTTGTCTTCCCCCTCCTCTAGAAGGGCTGTTGGGGGATTGGATGAACTGTCACAAGTTTTGGTACAGGAGAGCCATTTGTGGCTTGTAGCCAGAGTACGAAAGAGCTTGTTAGCAGAATAGATTTTATTGGCTATTTTCATTTGTTTTATTATTGTAAACCTAGGATTGGCATAAGAGATGTTATTACAACTTATTGCAAAATCATATTGACATAAAGGAGTCTGGGATCAGCATAGAGACTGGCAGGATGAAGACAGTAAAACCAGAAGTGAACGGTGAAACCTTTTTAAGGACAGTCTGACCCCCAGCAGCCAGATTCTGAGTGCAAAATCCATACAACTGTGACCCCAGGTATCTGCTAACAGTTTCTGCAAGACACTCAGGAGGACCACAGGGCAGTGGCTGATGGGAGTGTCAAAGGCAGCCTCGACAGGGGAACAGTAGTTTTGGATGTACTGATCACAAGAGTAACAGAAGCCTTAATGCAACAGTTGCGTGATTTTATTTTGTACCTGTGTAGTATAATGAAACAGGAAAGAAGTTGCTCTGTCAGCATAAGCAGCAGAAGGATGCTGAAATCAGTTTTAATAAAAAGTAAGTTTTGAAATAGAACGTTTCAGATTTTCCACCAGGCTAACATCATCAACTTTCAATAAACTGGCTTGCTAGCTTTGAAATCTATTGCTTAGAAATTATGATTATCTCAAACTGAATAAATTTTCTTTTTTTTAAAATATATAATCATTGAATTTTAAACCAGTCAGCTTTACCAGAAGAAAGAGATAAACTTTCAGTTATTATTTCCATGGGCTATGTCTTTTTCATTGCAGGAGAAGCTGTTGTCTTGGAGAAGCTATTTATGTAGACTTCAAGAGTTACTTTTCCTGTGAAACACATGAGGGCAGCAAAGGACTTTTGGAAAGGTAGATGCAAACCATGCAGTTTAAATTTTTATTTTAATTAAAAACATAAACAACCCCCAAATAAACAAACAAACAAAATCCCCTCCTATTTTGGGAAAATAGATACATTTCAGACTGATTCGTGTAAAAAATTTTGTACAGCACAGCAAGAGGAAAAATTGTGTTCCTCCTGTATTTGTCCTGTGTACTAAGTAGATGTGTCAATTTATCTTGTTCAAGAGGAGAGAGTGTTAGAATAAGTCAGTGTCTCCTCTGGTGACTGGCTCAGGGAGAACAGAAGTAGGCCTCTGATAGCCAAAGTGTTTCAGAATGATTTATTTTTCCACTAAACTACCACGCTACTAAAGCATTTTGTACTTGCGCTTAGATGAACAAACCCCACTAAAGTACATAGAGCTCTGTCTATAGGCAGGCATTCCCTGCTCTGTTCTGAATTACTCCAGTATAAATCTAGCTTTGTTTCATTAAGATAAAAGAAAGTACACTTGTAAAAATAATATCAGAATTAGGCTTGTAAAAAGTAACTGGGTATAAAGTTTGTGGTGTGATGGGTTTTGTTTGTTTATTTTTTTGGTTTTTTTTTGTTTTAAAAAGGTTTTACTGATACCAATTCTTATTGCTTCATTGACAGAGGTAAGCTATTAGCTACATAGATATTAATCACCGCAGACAGGTGATTAAAATCTCTTTATGCAAGTATGGGTGCTGTTTATGTTGCAAGATTTTTTTTCAGAAACTCAGAATTTTATAATTGTAAATACTTATTTAAAAAATCTATTTTAATGGCATTTTGCATATGCCTTTACTGTTCTGGCTATTCATTGGAAGTATTTCATGAACCCAAACAATGCACATATATATATATTTATGAACTTCTAAATTAATTGAAAGATGTTATCTTTAAAAGAAGGTATTCCTTTATTAAGAGGATTTCACTACTTTCTAAAATTATTCGTAACTCATAACACTGTAATTAGTGGGTAGGTTTTCATCATATTATTGGGTCAGAGTAAGGGAGCATGTTAATATTTAGTAGACTGGCTTCCCCCCCCCCCCAGTGATTTTTGCATAGCTGTTTGAAATAGTTAATTGAATCTTGTTAGATACCCTAGCTTTAGTGCCCTTTGGCCTCTATGTTTATAATTATCATAGCAAACAAGGGCAAAATACAATAAATTACTTCTGAGTTGAAGACAGGTCTTCCAAGGACCGGTACTGCTGCTGCTAAGGGCAGTAATGAAATGTGTTAATGGACCTGTGGGGAGGAGGGATGCCTTTCACTTTGATAGGTATTTACATAGCAGCAGTTTGGACTTTTGCCTTCTGCATGCATATAAGATGTTTAACAAATGGAAAATAAATCCTTTTGTATTGTGCAGTCCTCAGCCTCGGAGAGAAATAATCTAAATCTGGCAGCAGATGGAGCTGAGTGCCTTCTCTTAAAAAGACTTGGGAAAAATTATTTCAGGATAAGTCTATGGATCTGTTTATTTTAAAACCTTGCAGAGGTGTTGTTTGTTAATATAGTTGCACTGCTAACAATTACTGAATGGAAGCAACGCAAATGAGAATTGCAATCTTGAGGTGAAATCTGGTCCCGTTTAAGCCAATGGAAGGGCAAATAAGCAGCTTTGCTGTAGCTAACATTCAGAAGCCCCAAGGTAGACTTTGAAGTTTGTGAGAAGCAGAGAAAATTACACATGGTAGTTGTTGGGTTTGCAGGAAAAACCAAGCTGTGCAAGGAGTTGCCTTAGCTAGATTGTGATAAATATCTGTGTTGACCATAAAGTCTCTCCTGGTAGAGCTATCTTCCTTTGCAAATAATGTAGTAACTGTAGGACCTGCTTCTCAAACCTGACTCTTTTGTATCTCAGCTGAATATCCTAAACACCAGTAATTCTATCTCTTTTTAAATTTTTTTCAGTCTTGTCAGTAGGGTGTGAATTATGAATGAAGAAGGCTGGCAGCAGAGCTAATAATTCAAATCAAATGGTGAATCAAGATTTGAAAATGCAGAAAGATGTGGTTAGGAGCAACACTTATTCTGAGTGAGACTGAAGTAAGAAATCTTGACAGTGTTAGAGAGCAGAGAATTGCCTTTTAAGATGGTGACTGTGCCATTTCTGATTTTTCTCCCTTGCTATTGCCAGTGTGTATAATAGTTTGACAGTAACTATTCTCAGCTGAGAAAACATCTCAGATCCAGGTCTTTTAAATCTTATTCTCCTGTGTTTGTTTGTTTGTTTGTTTGTTTTTTGTTTGTTTGTTTGTTTTTTTTCTTGTTAATATTTAATTAATCCCAGAAAGCAGGCAAGTGGTCAGCTTTTCAATAAGAAATTTGGGCTATATTGCGTGCAGCCTGGTTTAAGGGCACAAGCATTGATAAACATTTCACTTCAATTGTTCTTATTTCGTCCAGCAAACTGTTTGATAATGGAAGGTGGAGAAAGTGCTTGTAAGTAGAAGTAATGCTGTTTTGCGGAATCTACTTTGCAAATTTCTGTAAATCTCCAGTTAATTTGTTTTTACATCCTTCATGGATTCATGAGTGACTTTGTTGGTAGAGGAATCTAGCAAGAGAGTGGGAGGACCTGCCAAATTCAAATAAAAGGAGAAACAAAATTAAAGGAAAAAATACCATTCAGGCATCCAGATATTTCTATCTTACATAGATTTTTGCCCTCATTGTTGGAGGATCTGGTTGCTGCCTTTCTTCATTGCTGATTATAACTCAAAAATGTTGTTGAATCATCACAACACCA